CTGAGGAGGGGCCAGGCGGGGTGCAGGGGAGAAGGGAAAATGGGCGAACTCACAGCATTGGGAAAGCATCTGGAAAGCCCCCAGAAGGAGAGGGGTGGGAGGCGAAGTGGCCGCTCTGTGGGGACCACAGCATCACCAGTGCTGCCCCGGGGTCCTGCAGGGACCCGGCTCACAGCCGCCGAGTGTCTGCCTGGGGACGTGCAGCCTTCATCGAGGATGGCTGCGGTCTGCAGGGAACAAGCACAGTTCCCCTTGCCTGTTTCTTGCTTCTCTTTTCACCAGCCTTTTACTGCCTGAAAAACAAACTTTGAAACTCCAAGACCTCCTGGCCCAGCGATGGTTTTGCCTCTGTGCTCAGAGAAGGATAGAGCCCCTTGCCAACAGGACACTAACCTCTCTGCTTTGCTTTTGTTCCAGTATCGAACTGTTCTTGTCCCGGTGGTGAAGTCTCCTGGCTTTCCAAAGATCCCAGGGAAATCTCTCAGTTTTATTTACTTTGCACCTGATGATGAAAACCCTGCAATTCATCGGCCTGTGTTCCTCGAGCTGACGCCATCGCCTGAGATGACCTACCGGACCCTGCCCGGGACCAGCAACGAGATGAACGTCTTGGGAATCGTCATCTTCTCCGCAACGATAGGTACCCGGCTGAGAGCAGGGCTCTGTCCTGCGCCCTGACCCCGTTCTGAGGCTGTTGGGCAGCAGTTGCAGCCCAGGGCGGTAGCTGCTGTGGCCCCTGTGCTGTAAATTGAGGTCGAGATGCTAAGAGGGACGAGGTTATTTTAGCTCTACCTGCTCAAGCCCTGGGGAACTGGGCACCGTGTGGAGCCTGTACCAGCACCTTCGTCAGTACCGTCCGTAACGGAGCTCACAGAGGCGTTAGGCATGGAGGAGGCTGTTCTCTCCCCAGAATTCCCATATGAGTCTTCACAGCCCGAGAACGGGTCCTGAGGGTTTTCAAATCATAATGTAAACTGGAGAGTTATTTTTATAAAGTCTACTGAAGGGAGTTGTAACTTTTGCAGAGGCTCCCTGGAACACAGCTCATTACAAACAGTCCAAACCCTTCACGCTGGCAGTGTTCAAAATCCCTGAGCAGGCAGCGGGTGAAAGCTGGGTGAGGCTTAGTGGCTGTCACGAACGCGTGGACATTTATAACGGGTCTTTCTGAAGAACGTAAGAAAGCTTCCTGTGCTGAACAGCTTGCAATCCCACATGGACAAGGTGCTCAGCAGCAATTTCAGGAAAGAAGGAGCAGAGGTCGGATGGAGGGAACATGCGCAAGGGGTAGAGAGGAAGGTTTAAAGGGGGAAAGTCATGGGAAGGAGGAACCTGAAGGTGACTCAAAGCTTAAGACAGAAGAGCACTGGATGCACGGCTGAGAACAGGAGGAAGGGACAAATCAGGTGGGAAAAGAGTAGGAGGCAATGAGATGAGCATGAGGCAGGATTACACATAGATTAAGTGAGGGCGAGGAACTGGAATTTAGTGTCTAAGGAACCAAAAAGCCAATGAGAGGATTTGACGGGTGGAGGCAGTGTGGCCAGCACAGCACTGGAGCACAGCAGGCTGCTGTCAGAGCCGGGGGAGAGCGGCCGGTTTAAAGGCTACGACACAGCGAGTGCCTGGAGGAGATGGCCACAGCCAGACCAGGCAGGGACAGACCCACTCTGATCCCTCCAGACAAAGCAGACATCTGCCACGGGCTCCTGTCCCAACCACCAACCCCAGCTGAGACCACGCTCGATGAACCTGCCAAGCTCCTGCTCGCGGGACGCGTGCCCCCCTCCAGCCCGGCCAAACAAGCGAGGAGAAGCCGCTTGTGTCTTCTGAGATTACCACCCCACCCAGGGAGCGAGGATCGGTGCGGGGTTAGGATGTGGTGGGAGATCCCCTTAGCCAGCCCCAGCCACCCAGCTGCACTCAGAGGTTTTCCCCACGATGGATCAAAGCTTCATGAAGCCACAGAGCAGCAGAGCATCACCTGCACTGGGGACAGGTAGCTTGGAAAAGGGCATTTGTACATCCACAGGAAGCTTTAGCTGCGAGGAGAGGTTCATTAAGGGGGTTTGCCTGGCAGAAAGAGGAGGGGGACAGGGAAGGGCAGGGAACACAGCGCTGTGCCATGGGAGCGGGGATCAGCTCCTCCTTGCAGCAAGGCGGGAGAGGCCAGGTGGAAGCTCGTTGAGATCTCAGGAAAGGGTATTTGTGTCCAACACCAAAATTTGACAGTTTGTGGGACTGAGACCCTGTGGTGCCCGCTGGGTACCCGGAGTGTCTGTGCTGTGGATGGTGACCCCACACAGCTACCGCAGCTCCAGAGATCTCTTTGCTGACACCAAGCATCTCCAGTCATCTCTCTTGCTTTTGAAATCCAGAAACGGGCAGAGATCTAAAGTTAGGTGAAGTGAGCTGTCCCTTTGCCAGGGCCGTCCTTTCCAAATCACCTGTCTGTAGGACCTGAAGAGAAATGGATTTATTTCAAACCAGCTGGTACGGCCACCTGGATGAATATCCACAGAGCTGACATTTAAATACGTCAAGCCTTGTCTCATTTCCGAAAGCACTGGCAAAGATGACCCAGCCTCGTCTCTCTTCTGAGCAAGCCAAGAGATCCCACTCCCTGCCCAGGGTCTCCTGGAGTCCTGAAGACTAAAGAGGGATGAGAGCAGATCCTGACTATATTCTTCTTTTCCAGGCTAAAGCAGACACTCGTACAGTGCTGCCGAAGTAATTTTAGCTAATGGGACCACACAGAAAGTACAAGCACTGGGCAAATACTCAAAGATTCAAAGACTCAATGGGTACCTGGGAAACCTCCCCGCCAGTGGAAGCACTGGGATTCAGCACTGGCCAGTTTCTGTCCTGGCAGCCCAGAAAGCACCATAACCCCTCGAACTATTCCTGTCTTTCTGCTCTAGTATTCCTTCAACAGAAAATTAGGCTGGAATTAGGTTAATAACATCGGAAGAAAAACCAGAATTAAGACAGAAAGCTTAATGCCTAAGCAAGTCAGCTGGACCCTTCCTGATGTTATTGTACAGCCGCATGCGTTGTCACCACCACGGTACGGTCCGTCAGCCACCGACAAAGCCGTCTCCGTGGAATAGCTGGTTGGCAGCCAGCAGACCCATCCCATGAGGGAACTGAGAACCACCACCGCCCACGGGGATCAGGCAAATCCCAGCGCTGCTGAAGCTCATCCGAGTGGCAGACGGGGCGTGTGGCTCTTTTCACTCCAGAGCAAGGGCAGGGACGCAACATATCATCACCTCTTCAGCTATATATAACCCCACCGAGCTTTGTCCTTTAAAAAAATCAATTTTTGTTTCCAGAGCTCCATTATTCTTGTATTATCAAATAGCAAAAAGACACCTTATCCACCCTGAGAAGTCACTCTCCCAGTACTGAGCAGCAGTGAAGAGTTTATCAGTTACCTGTCCGAGGAATAGTCCAAATGCTGGATTTGGGTTTGGTGGGGTTTTTTTGAGAAAAGGCCAGACACTTGAATTTGCTTGGAGCCGAGAATTACAGTGACCCGTAAGAGCATGTGGAAATCTGTAGTAAGTCTGATTTGCTGTGAGTTTGCCCAGTGAAACCCGTCCTGTGACCGCCAGAAGCCATGACACACGCTGCTCCTACGGCACTATTAAGTAACATAAATCCATGTGCTTGGCTGCAGGACTTCTCCTGGGAAAAATGGGCGAGCGAGGAACTCCGCTGGTTAACGTGTGCCAGTGTCTGAATGAAGCAGTGATGAAAATTGTCTCAATGGCAGTCTGGTAAATCTGCTTTTGATTTTTTTCAGTTATTTTCTTACCTGCAATGTAATGGTAATGCCGGTCATATGTCTGCAAGTATCTATTTATTTTATCTATTTATTTATTTTTAAATCACTGGATTTATGTTTGTATGACTGTACCACATGGTACCAAAATCCGTAATGACTCTCATGCCATGCTTCAATTATTACTGCATCCTCATAAATATTTTTTTATGGTTATTCTTTGCAGGTACTTCCCCTTTGGCATTGTATTTCTCATCGCTGGAAAGATCCTGGAGATGGAAGATCCATCGGTTATAGGACAGAAGCTGGGACTATATGCCATTACAGTAGTGGCAGGGCTGGTCATCCACGGACTCGTTCTCTTACCTCTGCTTTTTGTGCTCATCACAAAGAAGAACCCCTTTGCTTTCATCCAGGGGATACTGCAAGCCTTGCTGATTGCCTTAGCTACATCCTCCAGGTAAGAAAACGTCCGAAATACGGCAATACAGCCGAGAAGGCGTCTGGTCTAGCCAAGGGAGACATGGCTGCGTGTACAGGCGAGCTGTGGGAAGACTGGTATAATTCGGACAGAGATGCTCCAGCACGATTTGACATGAGATCACTCCCACCATCAGTAGGAGGCGGGATGCCTGGCGTTGCGCTGGTCCTCAGGGGGAAAAGCCTCAGTGCATCCCTGACCTGGCCAGCTCGCGTTGCTCTCCTGCTCACCCTCTCCCGAGGTTTTCCCCAGGCAAAGCAGCGACGTTTGTGCATGTGTGTGCTGCTTTTAATTGCTGCGGCCAGTTTTCTTTCAAATAATTCAAAAGAGGACTGTTGTAGGTGTTCTGTAAAGCAGCGTGGGGTTATGGGCCTGGGTTTTAATAGAAATTTAACTGAAAACACCGAACATTTTACTGCAAGTCTTAAATCAACTCCTGTGTATCCCAAGCTCCTCCAAAGAAAAGTGTTGTCTACTTTGATAAGATTTTATCATTTTAGATGATATCTATTTTAATTGAAAAACATTCTTTGTTACAATGAAGAAAATGTACATTAGAAACTACTGTCCTTTCCAGAAGACATGCAAATCAAAACATTTTATTAGAAAACATGTGACTAGGCAAAGACTTTTTCTGGCCTTCCCAATATTGATTCTTCACATAATCCCGATAAAACCACCTAGGATTGTGCCTCCCTCCCCCAGCGCCCAGTGCTGCTGGTCTCTTCTGCTCCTCTTAGCTACCTGATCTCCTGAACCGGGGTCTCCAGCTCTGTCTCCGTCAGGCTTTCTCCTTCCTCTCTGCTCTACAGCCAGCTAAGCGTGCTGCAGAGCTGTCACGCAGAGGACGGTGGCAGCGCCCTGCTCCTTGTCCCAGCCCATGGTCTGTGCCAGGGGCTCGGAGCCATTGCGCTCTGCACCGCATCCAGCTGCTTCAGAAAAGGAGCCCCTGCCTCCATGAGCCTGTCGCAATCCCATCGACTTCTTTTCACAGAATCCCAGAACGGTTTGGGTGGGAAGGACCTTAAAGCCCACCCAGTGCCACCCGCTGCCATGGGCAGGGACCCCTCCCACTAGCCCAGGTTGCCCAAAGCCTCATCCAGCCTGGCCTTGAACCTCTCCAGGGATGAGGCATC